TGATGAATATTTATATATTAATTGCTTAAAATAAAGATAATACCTATATAACATAATTCAGGTTAGCAAATGGTAATGCTCTTTTCCTGCAAAATGTTTAAGCCGGAAAGAATAAAACTTACAGCATTTTACAAGAGAGTATTAACACACTGAAGTCTAATCTATCCATTAGCAAAATTTAGTGTTACTCATCTGAAATTCAGAAGCACACTAATCCACAACGCCCAAGCTAAAGCAGTATTTGACCAACACTCAGTAAATCTGTCTATCCCTGATCCTGAATGTGATAAAGATAGAATCTTTTGTACACTGAAGAAACAACTCATGATACAAATAAATAAATAGATAGATAAAAATAAAAAAGGATTTTGACAGATGAGAACTCTTTCTGCATATTGGTATTAATTATTTGAGTGCGGGTTATACATTTTAGGCTGGTCGTCAAACTCACCTGGGGCCCTGAGCTGGATCCAGACACAGGGTTCCCATGGGCTGAATCTGTGAGGCCAGAAGCAGCTGTGGTGGATCTGGTGGTGGTAGCAGAGCCAAGTAGTGGTGGTGGGGTGGCAAGGATCCAGTGGCCACAGGGCAAGTGAGTACTGTATCTGACCATCCCTTGCTCACGCCCCTGCCACCAATAGCCATGTCCATGAGGACCCAAGGACCCTGGATTCTACAGCAGGGCCCACCCCCTGCCTTGCCCTCATAACCTCTGGTAGCCCGCTGGTAGTCTAGATAGAACAGCTCCATAGCCCAGATATGGCCCCTGGACCATAGCTTTGGCACCTCTGCTGGACTAAATACAAATAGAAACAGATGCAGGATTCTGCAAAGGGGAGTGCAGAAGCAGTGACTGGCACAGCAGAGAGGGCTGCACCCCCTTCCCAGACTTCCTCCCTATACCAGGGTGAGCAGACCACACCACAGGAGCAGTGATCTGTGACTAAGCCCTCAAAGCTGGTAAAAATCCACCCCCACCTTTTCTTCCTGGCTCAGAAGCAGGTCCCCTTCTTTTCCCTGCCCTTCCCTTATCTGCTGCTGCCACTGTCCCTACTGTCCACTGGGTGAGGGAAGCTCCAGAGCCACTTCTGCCCACTCCAGCTGGACTACACAGTGGCTGGCTCAGCTTGGGACAGCAGTGGTAGTGGGAGGCATTCTCCCTCCCTGTGTCTGCTCCCAAACTGGCTGGGAATACCCAGTGGGACCCAGCAGGGAGGGGAAACTTGCCCACTGCCCCTGCTGTCCTGGGCTGAGCCCAGCCCCTGTACAGCCTGGTTCTGGAACCTCCCCCTGGCCTTGGACAGTAACAGTAGCAGGCAGAGGAAGTGGAGTGGAGGTAGGAGAAGGAGAGGAGAAGGTAGAGGATGTGCCTTTGAGCATGGAGAGGAAGGGAGGGGAAATTTTTTTACCTGCTTGAGGGACTTATGGCATGGTCAGAAAGCAGGGTGTGATCACATCACTGTGATCACCCCCTCTGGATAAAATAACAATGCTGCTTCTGCCTTTAAATTCTAAAATAAGTACATAAAACCAAAAAGCATTGAGAGGCCAGTCTATTACTGTCTTATTAAACATTCTTAATTTCATCAAGAAATGTATAGCCGTCTGACTTTAAAAGTAAAAAACCTGCACAGTGCAGCAGGAGCCAGCCAGGAATCATGGGAGCCGAGCTGGCTCCTGCTGCATTCTGCAGTCCCAGCCATGCAGCTGGGTGATATCAAGAGAGTGGTGGCAGCAGGTGGGAAGGTAGGGAAGTGGCAGAGGAAGGGCGGTGGCAGCAGCTGCAGGCAGGGGAGGGAAGTGGCAGTGAATGGGCAGGTGGAAGTGCAGCATCAGCAGGGTGGGAGCACAGGGCCCATACCAATGCCCCAGGGCCAGGGCCAGTGGGGTCGCAGGGTGGGGCAGCAGGAGTGTAGAACCTAAGCTGGCAGGGGCTGTATGGAGCTGGGCTGGCTCCACCCCTCTCCCTGCTGGTAGCTTGGCCACTTGCAATCCTGGGGTGTGCCAGGGCTGCACACCACTAGGGGTCTCCACCTGCCACAGGCCATAAGTGTCCCAAGGCCTTTCCCCCTGCTGCTCCTGCTGTTGGCAGGGGCTGTGTGCAATGAAGGAGAGGGGCATGTTTGTGGGGGGGGGGTCCCACACACACACACATCCTACCATACACATATACCCATACCGCCCACCTGACATCACCATACACCCATACCCTC